ATACTTCCCCCACCTCTGCCCTAATCCAAAATTCCCCTTATGCCCTCTGTTAGGATATTTGTGTGTTCCTATGGAATTCCCTTGTTTAGTTTTCATGCATCCTTTAAAACACTCCAGGCTGGCTTCGTTACCAACCCCCAAAAGTTCCATTGTGCCTGCTTTGTTAAGGGCTGTACAACAACTCCTCAAAGTCATCTCCAAGTGCTGACCCCAAGAACCTGTGAATTGGCTTTATTTGGAAAAAGATTTGCAGTGTAATTAAATGAAGCATTGCCAGAAATCATCCAAGATATAAGAGGAACCTTAAGTTCAATCGCAGGTGCTCTTATGAGAGAAAGGCAATGGAAGAGGACCAGGCGAAGATGGAGACAGACTAAAGTGATGAGTCACTAAGCCAAGGAATGTCAGCTGTCACTAGAAGCTGAAGAGATAAGGAGTCTCCTCTAGATACCAGAAGTTTAGAGATTTTTGGTCTTCAGAACTGTGAGAGAACAAGGCTGAGGATGTAGCTGGGTAGTTGAGCACTTGGTTACCATGTAGAAGACTCTGGCTTTGGGGCTGGTCAGATGGCTTGGTGGGAAGAAGTGCCTGCTACCAAGCCTGCTGACTTGAGTTCCCTTTCTGGAATCCACCTGGTGAAAGAAGAGAACTGACTCTAGCTAGTTGTCCTCTGACCTCCATATGTATTCAGTGACATGACTTCTCTACAAATAAATAAATAAATAATAAATAAATAATATAAAAAGGCTCTGGGTTCAAGCCCTAGCATGGCAAAACCAACCAACCAACCAATCAACAAAATAATCACACATACACACAAAAACAAAACAAAAAACAAAGAAAAAAACCAAAATAAAACCCAAGAAAAACAACAACAACAAATCTGTGAGAAAGTTTTTGTGGTTTTGTTGTAGCCCCAGAAAGGTAAGTCATCAATGATCTTGACCTTATAAAATGCTGACATTCTTGCCATCACCATCACTCTTTTACTTTGCAGCAGTATTTGATTCCTTTAAAGCATCTCACAATCCTGCCATCCAGGAGCCCCCTTTCTGTTGGATTTTCTTTCTCTGTTTGAGTGCTTTATCTTCAAGTTCCTTGCCAGGCTTTGGCGTCTACCCAGTCTCTATGTGTCTTCTTGTCTCCCTTTACATTCTCTTGAGTAATCACAATCATACCTGTGACTCTAATTAACAGCCATCCCCTTACCACCACTCACCAAATCAATGCATCAGACTTAGAACTGCTGAAAGCCTTGGTTCTATGAATTCCATGCCTTCTTTTGTACTTGTGTGTGTGCATGTGTATGAGGCTAGAGGCTGATATTGGGTATCTTTCTTAATTGCTTCTCCGCCTTATTTTTTGAGACAGAGTCTCTCTTACTGAACCTGGAGCTTACTAATTGGCTAGAGTGGCTAGCCAGTGAGCCCCAGGGATCTTCCTGTTTCTTCTTCCCCTGCACTGGGATTATAGGCTTACACTACTAAGTCCCACTTTTTAAGTAGGTGCTAGGGATTGAATTCAGGTCTGCGTGCTGGGTGAGGAAGCACTTTACTGACTGAGCCATTTTCCAACTCTCTCCAAGTCATTGCCCCTGGCTGTAGTCCTCCTCCTCCTCCTCCCCCTCCTCCTCCTCCAATATTAGTTTTCCTTGCCTGTAGATATTGTTTTAAATATAAATTCTTCCCCCCTCCGTGTGTCTGTGTGTTTGAGTCAATGCCATGTGTGTAGGTACCTGTGGGGGCTAGAAGAGGGCATCAGATCTCTTGGAGCTGGAATTACAGGTGACTGTGAGCCTCTTGACATGGGTACTGGGAAATGAACTTGAGACCTTTGGAAGAGCAGCAGGTACTCTTAACCACTGAGCTATCTCTCAAGCCCTCTTCCATGCCTTCTTAATGAAACAGCCTAGACACTATACAGCAGTCTTCCATTTAAGCAAACATACACATATAAAACAGAACTTTACAAAAAGTTTTATTTATTTTATGTTGAATTTATTCCCAGTCCATTTTTGTTTCTTTGGTTTCGTTGGGGGCACAGGAACTCATGTTTGGGTTAATTTGAGCAGGAGCTCTGTCAGGACCATGCACATCCTCAGTCCTTTGTTCACCTGTATGTGCTCAGTAGCTGCAGAGTCTATATCTACCCCCCACCTCAATGGCAGGGAAGTTATTAATTTCTTTCCCCCAGAGGCAGTGCATAGGCATAGTTCAGGTCTCTCAGCATTAGTTTCTAACAGTGAGAAACAAATTCAACAGGATCACTATTCTACAGTCATTGAGTCCATTTCAAAAACTGTGCATTCAAGACTCACATGTAAAACATTTGTGTTTAGCATACTCTACTTTTTCAAATGTGGGCAGCAAAAAATTCAGCACTTTTGGGGCATAGTGATGCATGCCTGTAATCCTAACACTTGGAAGATGGAGGCAGCAGGATCACGAGTTCAAGGTCATCTTCAGCTCTACAGTTTGAGGCCTGAGCCACATAAACCCTGTCTCAACCTCCACCTCCACCCCCAAATCAGTACTTTTTTTAGGTCTCTGACCCTGTGCCCAGCCTCATAGTTTGACCAGGGCTCACTTACTGGTGCCACCACTGTAACCATAGAATGGTACACAGTGCTTCTGCAAAGTGACACCTTTTTGGAAGGCATGCCCTTGATAGTCTGGGATGTTTCAGTGATGTTTTGCTGTGAATATGACGATTTGAGCCTCTTGTTTTACATGATTTTGTGGGTTAGGTAAACACTGAATCATTTTCAGAGAATACCTTAGGCTGCTCGTGTGAAAAGGAGTTTTTATCTCTGAAGAAATGGTGTGTTCACCATTTAATGAAACTCAGAAACTCTATTTACTGAAACCCTATTTAATGAAACCCAAAAACCTTTCTTCCTCTAAGAAAATCTTAGCATTTGCTGTCTAAAATGTATTTTGAACCCATTCATTTCTCTTTATAGTTACCAGCATTAATTATCTTGGGGCTTCAAGGCCATTCTCTTTTGGAATCTTGCAACTGATGCTCTATGTAACAGCCACCATGCTACTGCAGTAGATGGTGCCACATCCCTACCCACGGCTCTTTAAAACAAAACTCAGTGGGGCCTTGTGTGACCTGGTCACTACTTCCAGTTCTCTGCCTCTGCTGTCAATAACAGACCTTCTCAGGTCAAGAGGGCTTATGAAGCTTTGGTGACTTCTGCCTTCCATCTTTTCTTTGGAGAGAACTCCTGACAACCTCCTTCATGTTACAGCAGTTTCTCCAGCTGTTTTCTCTCCCACAAGAGCTCAGTCTTCCCACCATAGCAGTTGCCACAATCAGTAATTACACACTAGGCTGTGTGCTATTAGCTCTCTCCCCGACTGGGCTGCTTCTAGACAGCAGCTGGACTTGTGTCTGTTTCTTGTCAGCAATTGGAGTACCTAGCTCAGGGGCAGGCACAGAGGGGGTCTGTAAATATTTGCTCAATGAATTCACCGTTTTCTACTCCATCGTCTCTTGCCACAAGTGTACATCCTTGTGGGAAGGCTGTTCTGGTGAGAAAACTTTCACTCACATGGAAAGTGAAAGGCAATGCCATATATTTTATAAAAAGCCAAAGACTTTGTTTTACAAACATATAAATTAAAACACTCATACACATAAAATATGAATAAATCCAAAATAAGAATAAAAAAAAAAAAAAAAAAAAAAAAAAAAATACAATCGCTTACTGGAGAATATATCCAGGCCTGGTGTTGAACCATGGCAGTATCAATAGATACAGGTTTGTTCTTTCTTTTTAAAACTGTAAGCCATAGAATTTACTATTTACACCTACTTCAGACATTTATTTTGCTTACAACATCACAGGCATGGAATGGATTCTATTTGATAGTGCTAATTCATAAAGGTGCGGGATAAAGAAGGAAAATACTTAGTGTTACAAAATATGGATCATAGAAAAGAAACCCACTCCACAAGTGTGGTCTTTGTTTAGTATGATTGGACATGCTTTCTTCAAAATTCTTCTGGAAAAGGTTCTAAAATTGGTAGTAGGAAAGGACAAATGAGCAGGTGCAAATTCTTGTCTGTGCAACAACAGTTATTTAATATACCCCATGACTGACCAGCTACATAAAACCCACAGAGTTTTGTTAAAGTGCCATGGGCCGACAGCATAACAAAATATAAGGTGTAAATAGAAAATTTCCTTTTTCCTTTTTTTAAACAAGAGTTCACTGAGAATCAGCAATAATAGAATATGCTGTATAAACTATTCTCTACAAAGGTTGATCAGCATTATTTACAATTGGTACATCGATACAAAAGAAGGCATACATGTTATCCAAGTCGCTTTTTTTTTTTTAATTTTATATGGCTGACAGGTCTATGCAGTGCGTTATGCTTAACAACTAGAGCTTCTGAGCCTCTATGGCGGGAAAAAAACAGGGGCCCCCCGGGGGGCGGGGGGGGGGGGGTGTGAGGAGCCACAGAGCCTAAACAGAAGGCTGAGTGGGGTGTGTGAAACAGAGGGACCCTAAAGACTTCACGCTCCTGATGCTGGATTGGTTGGTCCAGTCGAATTCCATGAAAACAAACCCAAAGGAAAGCTTTGATTTGCATTCCACTTTTTTTTCTAGCCGCAAGTTTTTAACACATTATAAAGTAAACCTGTGGCTGATGGCGAAGGAAGAAATACCGTGGGTTTTCCCTTTTTGCTCAGTTTTCTAGACATGTCCTCACCTAGATCAAAGCCAGTCTTTCAAAAAAGTAAGCAGCATTGGGTGGAGAGCTTCTTTATTCCAGATTAAGACACAGAGCTGACCTGCTGAGCTGCTCCCTCTGCCTCTGTGAAGACTTTGCTTCTTGGAAGCAGCCTCTCATCCTCTCAGACTTCGCCTTGGAGTAGAAGAGTTTACAGATCAGAGGCTTATTCTGTTGCTGAGACTTGTTTGTTTTGTTTTTACTCCTGCACGTTTTACAACTCAAAATATCATACTTTTCAGTCTGAGGAAATGTACAATAAAAACATAATTCAAAGAACATTTTAAAAATATAAACATTGCTTAAACTTTCCTAAGTTTCATATTGTTTCTGAAACTATTCTGGTCAGTTAGCTCTGTAATATAGTAAAACATAAATTATTACAAAATTAACACTATAAAAATTTACTTTAAGAATATTTTCTAAACTTTTTTTTCAAAGGATCTAACCTTGTTTATAATTTTTTAAACATTTATAAGTCTTAAAATCTGCCTTAACCTTTAAAAACAAAAAACAAAAAAAAAAAAACAAAAAGTAACAATCGTCCCTTCAATTTGCAGTCTTTTTTTTCCCAAGATGTAAATAAACCGGCATATAAGTGCACTTTTAACACTGTAGAAAGAAAAGTGAAACAATCCCAACTAATGTCCTCGTACTTAATATCAACTCCTGATTTAAAAAAAAAAAATCTTCATTTTATATTAAAAGTTTAGAAGTCTTGTAAGAAACACTGTCAGTGCAATTCCATTGACGGAAGTCATTTTTGTCCTCCGTCTCTGCAGATTCAAATCCTGTGGTGAAACTTAACAGTAGTCTGATCTTTGGGTTGGGAGAGAGGGAATGCAAAGGAAAACTTTGGGGAGGGAAGGGGGGGTATGCTGAAAACTAGCATTTGCTTCTGATTTCAGGATCTACAGAGCCTCTGGCAGATTCAAGCCCAGAACGCCTGCTTTATACTGTGAATTTTCTTTCTGATTCCCTATTAGAACTTAGTGGTACCTGTTTCCTTCAAAACTCTAGTATAAATAGCTTTATAGGTGCAGTGCTCCAGCACCTCCCTTCCAAATGGCTCATCCTTCTCAGGGCTGTCGCTCTCTGATTTGGAGCATCTGAGAACTGAGTGCAAGCTCTTTTGTGGATGTGATATGCAATCCATGCTAGAGTACTTATTCTCACGAGGGGTTTGGCATATAACCCTTTGTGCAGACTCTCCTCTGGAGGACCCTTGCTGGCTCCAGAACCTTCCTAGTAACTAGAGAACTCTTAGCAGCTATGGCCACTATGCTACCTCATGGATTGGCTTTCTTGGTTCTCATGGGCTTTCTCTGGGCTTTTTGTCTCTGGCTGGCTCAGCTTCAGGAATTTGGACACTGTGCCCTGGAAGGAACTCATCAGAGTAGACACCTAACAAGCTCCAATTATCACAGTCACCTGGCTCCTACCTACCGTCTTCTGTCCATGTTCTGTTTTCTGACAACCTCTCAGGCCTCCTCTGCTCTTTTCCCTGACTTGGTATATCTTTTCTGAGTTGCACAGAAGGACCTTGGCATTGAGTAAACCATATCATTAACAGGCTATTGTCCTCATTTTGGCTCCAGGCATTTGGTTGTAGCCACACAGGGCTGCAGAATCCAATTGAATCCCCTCCCACCTCTGAACACAGGCTGTTCTCCAACAAGCCCCCGCCCCCATGCTGTTCAGGGAAGCCAACGATTTTTGATGGCCAATAGGGCCCAATGAGTGGCAGGTGGGATAGAAAGGATGGGATAGGAGAGTGAAGAAGGGAAAGAGCTCTGCAAGTGCTAAAGTTCAAGAAATTCCACAAGTGACAACCCAGAACTGACATTCTGTGACATCTACTGTCAGGGCTGGAGCAAAATGATGGTGTGCTAGCAGCAACGGGAGCTAGGGGAGTGACCCCAAATTTGGAAGAATGTATAAGACATGACAAATGAAAAATAGAAAGAAAACACTGGAACTGTTTTCTGTAAATCTCAAATTAAGGTTCTTTTGCTTTTCTTAAAAACTAAAAATTGGTCTTAGAAGGAGGAAGAGGAGGCCAGAGCCACAGGCAGTGTCCAGGAAACACTCTCCCCACAGGCCAGCCCCTCCCTTCTCCAGCCTTAGTCTCCTAGGAGGATCACAGCAGGACTGGTTTGGAAGTGGCTTCACCATCTTGTTAGGGAAGAGTTCTTATCCTGCCCATTCTGCTTGCATTCTTCTAGGAAAGAAAAAGAAAAACTTGTTTCAACATAATATGTTTGGGATGAGCCACAAGAATTAAGGAGTGAACCTCAGTTTTCTCTTCTGACCTGTACATGACTAAGGGCAGCCATACTGGTCAACCAAAAGGGTGAATAAAAAGGAGTCCAACAAGTATTTGTGTTGCCACAGTCGTTCCAAGGCAGGGGGGGAATCAGGAGGACAAGTGTAGTGGACATTCACGGGACCTCTCCTGGAAAGAGGGCTGGGATATTATGTCTTTTTTATTGGTTCATCTTTTTCTACATAACTTATAAATGACACAGTGAGTTACTTAGCAAAGGCATATAGCCCTGGGTTAAACAGAGAGGCTTTGGAGATTTGGTGAAGTCAGTGTGGCTATCATCTTCACCTATCAGCTGAGTAGTACACGCTTATCCCTTAGAGAGTTGTTGCAAGGATTCATTGACTGTGATGTCTGTGAAGGACCAAGCACAGTGCATACAGAGAAAGGCCTCAACAAGTGGTGTCATTATTATATGCTTGCCAAGGCTGACTGCCCGCAGGAGTAGCTGGAGCTAGGGACATGAACAGGCCATGCTTGTAAGGGTAAAAGTGTGTTTTCCAGGCACACTACACAACCCCTGGAGAGGTGACTGGGCAGGTGCCTTTCTTCCAGACTAGCAAAGCACCAGGCTGCAGGTGCTTAGTCACACAAAGGGCCACAACGACTCAGAATGGTGGGGGCCTCCTGCCTCTGGGGATGCAAAAACAGGTGCAGCCATGAAATTTGCCCAAACTCTGACCCAAGATTTGTGGGGACATCCCAAAGGACAAAACACCAATACATGACTATTTAATGTCTACAAATCTACAACACATACTGCATGTCTCAGACAACACACCACCTGGGCTGTGTGTGTATTTTCTAAACAATATGAGATGAATAACACCTCCCCGCCCCCATTTTCTGTTAGACAAACACACAGATCCTCCTGATCTCTGGGCTTATATTCTGCCTACTCTTACACCTCAAGTTCATCAAAACTGCCAAGTTTTTCCTTAATATTCCCACTGTGAAACCACACACTGAATGGGAGCTACAGCTCCCCAGGAGCCTCGGAGAAAGCAGTGTCTGACATCCACCACCCAGCAATGAGTTTCCCTCCATCTTGTCTTACTTCACTTTGGCAATATCCTTAGGAGGCAGGTATCAATAATGCCATCCAACAATGAAAATGGACACCCAGAGAACTAATCTATAATGATCATACAACTGGTAATAATGATAATTATAGCTAACACTTGGGCTTGCTCTGTGCCAGAGAGTATTTTTTGGTATTTCATGAAAAACTAATTTAAGCCTTACAAAGGCCATACAAGGTTAGGGGCCACTAGGATCCCTGTTTATTAAAAATATTTTATGTGTATGAGCGTATTGTCTGCATGTATGTATGTAAGTGCACCTGTGTCATGCAATGCCCACAGAGGTCAGAAGAGGACATCAGATTCTCCTGGAACTGGAGTTACACACAGTTGTTAGCTGCCATGTGGGTACTGGGAATTGAACCTGGGTCCTCTGCAAGAACAGCCAATGCTCTTAACCCCTGAGCTATCTCACCAGCCCCAGGATCCCTGTTTTATAAAGAAGGAAATGGAAGGACAGAGAAGTTAAGGAACTTGCACAAGGACTCACAGCAAATAACCAGAAGGCCTAGGTTTGGAAGTCAGATTAGCTCTCCTCTCAGGTGGAGTGAGACTTGAACTGGGGTCTGACCTTAATGCCTACTCTTACCAGTCTGATGATCTCTGTGTGATTCTTTCCCCCCAATAACTTACCTGTCGGCTGTGTCCTGGGCTGGATATGCTTGAAGGATTGGATTGTGACAAAGCTAGGCTGCTATTTTTCCCAACCTGAAAGACACCAGTGAACCCACATTCAGATACCTGGGTAGCTTGGGAAAGACCCTCTAATGCTGTATGTTGCCAGGGCAGAGGAGCAAGGCAGCACAATATGCCTCATTTCCTCAGAGCAAGTGCTTCCAGTTTAAAAGGCAGAGAAAGAGACAACAGTTTGGGGACTTTGAGGATGTCCCTTCTCCTTCTCAGAGAAAAAATGGTGGCATTTAAATTCTTAATTTTGCTCCCATTGTTCCCCAGATAGGCAGACCACAAGAGGTGGACCTTGTTAACTGTAGCTCAAGGGTCCCACACAGCTCCTCTGACCACAGTGTCAGGTCCGCCTTGTTTCCAGCCCAGGTTCCTCAGACATGCTGCAGATAAAATGTTCAAGCTTGTCTGGCTAGGAGATGCCAGACACTTAGCCGTGTGTTCTCCAGAAAACCAGCCATGGCACTAGGCTGCCCCTCAAAGTGCAGGGGAAGAGGATGCTTTGCCCTGGGATGGCAGGTCAAGGGCACATGTAGCCCTTCTTTGTGGCTGTACTTGGCCTCTGGTGGACTGGGCCCTCAGGGGAACTGTTGCCAGGCCCTTCTTGGCTCTAGTCTCTAAACATCTCCCCGTTTAAACCCTCTTCGCACACAGACATGTGCCTTTCATTCACAGTACTGTTTTGTGTTCAATTTAATAAGTTGGTGGCAAATTTTGGCCTTACATTTTCCAGATATAATTAGATGGACCCATAAGTTGGTCCTAAGGATTAACTTTAGATTTCTTTTTTTTTCTTCCTTTTTCTTTTGAGACAGGGTCTCATATAGCCCAGGCTGGCCTGGAGTTTGCTAGAACTCCTGATCCTACTGCCTCCATCTTCTCGGTGCTGGGATTACAGGTATAGGTTAACCATCTTGCTCTTAGATTTCCTGAATTTTCTTCTCAGTCTTTTAACAGAATCAACTCAGACCCCAGAGTTGACCTCTTTCCAGACCTCTTTCCCTAATGGTTGGAAGTTCCTGGTGGTGACTCCAGACAAAGCTTTTTCTCTGTGGTCTGGTGATAAGCGCTGAGCTATCAGTGTTGGGGAATGGCTGCTGCCTGTCCTGCAGGCACCTGTCATGGCTCCCTCTGGATGTGCATTCTCTGGGGAGGCTCATCTGCTCTTTCTGTGGCTGGTTTGGTTGATTCATCATGCTGACTAGGCATTTCAGACAGTTCTGGGAACCAACAGGGCAATACTTAACACACAGGCACTGGAGTACTGGCAGGGCCAGGAGCTCAGAGCCCAATGCTTGGGTTTAAATCCCAGCCCCACTATTCACTCACTGTGTAACTTTAGGAACCTCTCTTAAGTTTTCTATGTTCATTTGACTTATGTGTAAAATTGGTTAATAGCAGGTAAGTACTGAGTTTGTGTATCTGAAGTATTCGGTGACAAAGTCCATCAATCCTGTGTGTCAGCTGCTAGAACTTTATCTAAAAAGAATGTGATGCTATGGCTTTGCTGCTCCAGGGGAGGTCTACAAGCCAGAGCAGCACCCCTGCCTGTTGGAAATGGAGACTCTTTGGGTCCCAGTCTTAGCCCATTCACCCTCAATCTGCTTTTTAATGAGACGTCCAGGTGCACTCATTGGTGCATATTCCAGTGTGTGAGCCTTCTGAGCCTGCAGGAGATATCAGCTTAGCAGCCTAGTTTCCAGGTAGGATCTGGAGGGTGCTAGCCCCCTCCCCAAACCCCTAGACCTGGAGAGTCAAAGTGGACCCAGGTAGAGGACCTGTGCCTCACTATCCTCTCACCTTGGCCAAGGCTGCAGCTATCTGGCTCCTGAATTCCAAATGTGCTGTTGTTCACATATGTACTTGTGAACTCCCCCCCCCCCCCAACAGATGTGCTTTGTGGACTTTTAACTTTATCCCCTGGCACTGGAGATAAGATGGTTGTTATCCACCAGGTGGGTGTTGGGGACGGAACATAGGTCCTTTGCAAGAGCAGCTAGTGCTCTTAACAGCTGAGCCATCTCTCCAGCCCCAGTTTTTAACAAGGGCCATACATGGTAACATAAAATGATAAAACTTTTATTTCTGTTTTTCTGAGACACGGTCCCCCTGGACCCCCAACTGGCCTGGAACTCACTATATAGACTGGGTTGGCCTTGATTTCACAGAGATCCACCTGCCTCTGCCTCCTAAGTGCTGGGATTAAAGGTGTTAAAGCATTTTTTAACACCTGTCTCCTATCTTTCCAAAGTCCTCATCCTTAAATAGGGCTGGCTTTAGGGTCCAGTCCGTTAGTTCCATGGTGGTAAACCTGGAGCTACCCTCATTTCCAAAAGGATGGCTCTCACAGTCTGCTGGGGTATGCTGAAGAACATGGGGCTTAGCCCTGTAGCCCTGAGCTCCCATCTGTTGGGCCCAGGGTGATGGAGGCCTATCATCAATAACTCTCCTAGTCTGAGGAGACAGACTGGGTTTGGTACAGGAACAAAGCCCCAAGAAAGCCACAATTCTTCTTGGATCACCCACATGTCTCAGATTCCTCATAGTACACACTTGTGTACTTGGGGGACACTGTGGCATTGAGCACTTATTTGCCACTGGTGCAAGCTGCAGTTTTACTTTAGGACAGAAAGAGCTATATCATATATTATGAGGGGAGAGGGGTGGAGACAGCTTGTTGAGGTGAGGACAATCACTTGGGAGTTGGAGTCTTAGGCTGCCACTCTCCAGGTGGGACCTGGCATCACTTAACCAGTCTGGGTCTCCTGCTTTTCCTGAGGGAATTCCAACAGATCCAATAAAACTTCTTAGCAACAGAACTCTTTAATGAAATAGTCCTCAGAACCTCAAGATATGAAACAGACAAGTAGAATGGGGAAACCAGACCCTCTTTGTGCCTCAGTTTAGCCATCTGTAAAGTTGTGACAACTCTGTATTCCCCCATGCTGGGTTGGTGTGAGGACTAAATGTAACGATCATTATAGAGTGCTTAGCTTAGCACAGTGCCGAAGTGACTCTCTCCTGTAGGGAGAGTCCTACAAAGAGCTCTCAGAGAGGGGATGAAGATCACCTATGGGGAACCTGGGGGAAGGAGCCACGCTTGTTACCAGTCTGAGCCACCTGGCCAAGCAGGGGTGCTGCCCAGCTCCCCCTGCCCCCCAGAGCCAATGAAGGCAGTGCCAGGAGCTCCCTTACCTGCCGAGAGGAGGTGCTGTTAACGGGATCCGGCACCGGTGCAAGAAGGCCGGGCGGGTTCTTTTTGTGAACGCTATTCATACCAGGCATTTTAGTGATCTTACAGGCTTTGCTACTAGGACTTGAATTCTTACGCTTTTTTCCTTCTGATTTGTCAAAAGAGAGGGGCAGAGAAGACACAGCATTGTGTGAGGCCAGAGAGAGGTCCCCTGCGTGGAGCGCAAGGGAGGGCACAGAGAGGGAACAGGGGCCACTGCTGCCGCCCACCGCGCCCACCTGTCTCACTAGGTCCGCGGGGCCGCCGGGCAGGGAGGTCCGTCCTGAGGGCTCCAGCTTGGCACTGAGTGGGCTCACCCCATTGTTTGAGTTGTGCACAGACAGACTGTTATAGGGAGGGGCTGCCTGATAGGAGTTCAAAGAGGAACTGGCATTCAAAACGCAGTTCTTTTTGTGGGGCCCTGATAATGGAGACGAGAGGGAAGTCTGCAAGGATAAGGAGGAAGAGGAGGAGGAAGTCGAAGACTGAGGCTTCCTCTTTTTGTTACTTGGAGACTCGTCGCTACGGGCTGACAGGTCTTTGACTTTTGAGGATTTGCTGGTTTTGGTTTTGGATGGCTTGTGGGATGGGGAAGGGATGACAGCTGGTATCGGGGACACGGCGGATGGGGCCTTGAAGGTTGAATCCATGATGCTGAGGGTTGCGGCCACATGGGGGAAAGCTGTGGTGTGGGACATGAGGACGCGCGGGTCCGGCGATGCCACAAAAGCTGCGTCTGAGAGCATGGCTGATGTCATTATGTAAGAAGAGGTGAGTCTCGAGCTGATGGGAGCTGAAGGAAGATACACAGCACTGGGGTTGCTGAAAGGCTGCAAAACGGATGCTGGAACAGGGGTGGTGATGTGGGCGGCTGGCGAGGGCATGGGGCTATCTGCCGCAGGAGGGATCTTCCTAAACACGAGAGAAGAGCCAAAGAGAAACAGTGAGACATTGGGTTGGCATCGCCTGGGAGGCTGGGTGAGCTTTGAGCGGCAGGGCTACAGAGGATACCCCAGCAGGACCAGACTATGGAGAATGAAGCCTTGAAGGATGGTGAGATCTGAAGGATGGCCCTTCCCTAAGCTGCCCCCCATGGCAACATCAGCATCTACTTTTAACACTTTCAGATTTTCAGAGCCTATTCTCCAGGCTTGGATACTGGAGAAAAGCAGATTTGGGTTCATGAGTGAAAGGCAAATGTTACTGCGACTCTAAATATCCTCAGCAGTACTTCCCCTGCCCCAACCTTTGGCAGTGACGGAAGTGGTTTTAAATGAGAAGTGGTTATTTCACATTTAGGCCTTGGCTTGAAGAAATGGGAGGAGAAGCCTTGGCCACATGCCCCCTTCTGCCCATTGTAACCTTTCTCATCTGTTCTTCCCCACATTCTCTTAGCTGGAAGCATTCTGGGAGGAGCTACCAGTCAGTGCCCTCCTTTGTTTGCTACCTAAAGCCTCTGGCTACTCTGGAGAGAGGCGCTTCCATGTTAGCTCCTGGCCACTGGCTCCTAGTGGCCACGGAGGGCCAAGGGCTTGGGAAATGATGAAGATGTCAAGTTGTCTATCCTTAGGACCTACGCTTTTTCCTCTTTGCCTTATTCTACCTCAGTGGGGTTGGGATGGGGCTGCCTTTTGATAATCTTCCTGTCCCTGGGATGGGAAAAGGTGAGAGTTCTGGCCCTGAGTATCCAGAGGGGACCAGGAGTTTAAGTGCAGGATATGGGCATGACAGCCTGTGGACAGGGGGAACATCACTGCTTTCTTTAACGGCTTTCCTAGAGGAGGACGGTACTGAGGGCAAAGTCCTTAGAGCCAATGCCAACATCAGGTGGGTGTCATTCTTGGGTCTTCTGCACACTATTTTTT